ACACTATCTTATACAGGGAAAAGAAGGGCGCAAAGGCTGGCCGATGCATGGTGTGGTGTGACCCCATGCATCAACCTTGTAGTTGGCACCGAATCCCACTCTCCGAGGCAGCTTCACCATGACACCATCGATCTCATTGGTATGCCCCGCTTCATCTCCCACCGCTTTCCTTTTCCTTTTGGTTTGGCTCTCAAAAGTTGCGTGTCTTTAGCTCTTTCCAAGGGAGGGTACTTCCATCCAGCCTCCCCCAGCACCCTGCTACCACTACTCACTCTCTCACTGGTCACTGCCTCGTGCTGTCGTGCACCGCATTTCCTCTTTGGTTTGGCTTTGGCCTCCAGGATGAGTGATATCTGTAACCCGTATGAACGGGACCTGGAGGGTCGGCCTTCCGGTCCAGTGGCATCCGATTCCCGGGCTCTTGAACCTTCAAATCATGCTAACCATTAACAATGCACCCTCCCTCTCCCTTTTGCGATCGATTCGATTTCGTAGCGCTTATACGGAGGTGGCAGTGTGAACGCTAGCCGCGACTAAGCGTTGTGGATGTTGGAAGTGGGGGAATAAAGCGTGCGCTTGTCTTGGCCTCTTTACGATTGCAAGTCTACGGTGCGAATAATCTGCTGCTGTAGCCTAATTTTGTATTATCCGGCAATTTCTGTGGCTGAGGAATGATTTTGATTCACTGAATACCTCGTCCCCTAATTCCTAATCGTACGTGCATATGCTGGGTAGTTCTGGTGCGTCTGAGAAAGATGCAGGGTTTCTGAATTTTGGATTTTGGATTTTGTATTGCCCAGCTCACTCGGTCTGAGTTTGGATGAACTGTGGTGGTGGTGTGGTACCCATTTTTCTGAACTATACTAACAGCTTATTCGTCTGTAACTGCCTTGCAGGATACTTGCCGGTATGCTCCTGTCCTGTGCCCCCACGCTGACGACTGAGGTGTTGTGGCGGTGCCGAGGCAGAGGAACCATGCTGTGGGCTGTGGCGTGTGCGGTCGTGGGCGGAATGGCAGTTTGGCCGGCACTGGGAGAGGGCATGGCCGAGACGGGGGTGGTTGGCGGTTTTGTTGGAGCTTGGAGCCTTGGAGTTGGAGGCAAGCCGATGATGGCCTCGCCGTCCCGTGTGCCACGAGTACTTGTACAGCACCGGCGCACCGGCCCGCCCGCCAGCCATGCGCCCGTACTGAAGCCAGTGTCCAGATGTCCAGTCCACTGCTCCACTCCCAGGGAAAAGCAACACCACCCATGTCGCTGCCCTGCCCACTGGCACTGGGGCTGGGCTGCTGCCTGCTGCCTGTGCCTGCTGCTCAGTCTGCTCATGATGTGCCTGTAACATCACAAATCCAGTCTCTCTCAGTAGTCGGTCCAGTCCAGTCAAGTCCTCTGTCCTCCAGGCTCCAGGCTCCTCCAGCGCATCGTGCCCGACTGCCCGTGACAGAGCTTGTGCTCGCGCGCGCTACTGCTTCCCCCTGTAGTCGCTGTAGAGTGGTAGTTGGTGAGACGGGAAAGATGACCAACGGCGTGGGCAAAACTGGCAGCCCGAGTTGGGTCGTCGTATCCCCGTTGCCGGATACAAACGCTGGGCTCGGTTACGTGCGACGTGCGCGGTGCATGTGAGGATGCATTGGCCTGATGCAGCGCACATCACACAAGACAAAACCGGGCACAGTCCAGGAAGGAGGCAACACCGCCGCCGTGGGGCGAGTCATGCGAGCCACATGCGTTCTGGCACGGCTGCTGCTAGGCAGCCCGACACATCAAGGAGACCACACATGGGAGTAGGAGGCGTGCCCTACCCTGGAGGCCTGGACCTCGAGAGCATTGCCCTGCCTGCCTGCATTTTGGAGTTTCGAGGGAGCATGGTTATTACGGCAATAGCAGCGCTGGAAATGAAAGCTTCTCGCGAAGTTTCTCTCTAGGTCTTCGTCCTGCAAGATTTGTGGAAAACGCCTATTTGCCAGTATAATTAATGGCCGCAAAAGGATTAGTTTATGATCGTTGCTAATAACAAGGCAAAAGAACGATGGAAAATGAAGCCAACGGATCCAGCCGTGACATGCGACAGGACACGAAGCACATGCATAAGGGCCTGCGTGCGTGGTGCCGTCAACAGGTGCACTGCACGGAAGCAGAGCAGGCAACACAGGGCTGAGCGCTGAGCTGAGCGGCTGTGGACTGTGGACTGTGAAGGACAGACAGCACAGCCGGGCTCAGGGATGCAGCTCTCTCCATGGCCCACATGCTCCGGTTCCATGCTCTCTTGGTTCATCGGTCCGGTGACGGTGAGATCTTCTGCCTGACTTCAGCCGTAGGGTTCACCCTGTGGCCGTTCTGCTTGCAAACATACAGTAGAGTAGAGGCTGTTGCCATCTTGGTGCGTGGTTGCTTTCTTTGATTGATTCTGTAGTAAGTACTGTACGTAGCACATCAAGTGCAGGAGCTTTGTTCATGTAGAATCCCACGTCAATCCAGACCAGTTGGAAGCACAAGTGTTTTTTGGCTGAGCCTGAACCCTCTCGCTGAAACCCACAATTTGCTGGAGCGTATCATTCACTCTTTCTTCCTTGACATCATGCATGGCGATATTATTCCAGCAACGCCATTATTATCGACCCATATATTCCTGCAGTGCAGACTAGCGTCGCAGAGGGCACCGGCCACCGGGCATGTTTTATTCCTCATCGTCGTTACCGGGCGCACAACGTGGCCGATCGAATTGGGTACTCCAATCCAAGTCCAATCCAGTGAACGCTGCCGATGGCAGATGCTTTGCCGCCGGTTTCTGCAAAGCGCCGGCGCTTTCCACGATGATTGCCGTCTTTGCATCTCCCTGCAGCAGTGCAGCGGCAGGAGAACAATCAGAGGAGGGAGAGCATAGAACAAGCAGGGGATTCCATTTGGGGTCTTGTTTAGATCGTAAATTTTTGTAATCTGAATCGTAGCATGTTTCATTTGTATTTGACAAACTTTGTCCAATCATGGACTAACTAGACTCAAAAGATTCGTCTCGTGATTTATAACCAAACTGTGCAATTAGTTATTTTTTTTACCTATATTTAATACTTCATATATCGTTTAAAAATTGATATGATGAAGAGAGGGTGAAAAAACTTGGAATTTGAAGGTGATCTAAACGAGTCCTGGTTCATGCTGCCAATGCCCGCGGCGAATTCCATCATGACGACAAGACAATGCATTGCAGAATGCAGTGCCCGACCCCACCGGCGGCGTATGTCTCTCATCTGTCATCTGTGTGTGCGAGAACACTTGCAGGGGTTTTATTTGTTTCGGCAGGAATAGACGGGGAACTTACTTGGTTTAGCAACTTTGGTTAAGCTGTAATGTGCCCACTTTTGGCAGTTAGCAGCCCATGGAGGATGAGCGGTGCACACAGTTAACACCAAAGCACACGGTTGTTAAAGAATCTCCAAAGCCTCTATATATTCTTCTATATATTGATAGGAATAGAGATTTTTCGTTGATAAATTACATTTCTGCATGTACTGTTTGAATTAAGGATACAAGTGGTTACTTTTTAGGTAACTAAATACGGTAAGATATCATTCTAATTTATTTCTCGTCTCATTCGAATTATATTATATGAATATCATTCTAGTTTCTTTGAGCAAGTTTACTTTATTTCTCCCCTCATTCAAATCATATCATATTACATAAAAAATACTATTCTAGTTCACTTAAGCAAAATTTTGGGCAGATGCAATAACCCGAAGTAATTAGAACTTGCATCCTGGTGCGAATGATCCTAGCTTTGTATACCACCAGCAGCTAATGGAACAAAATAATAGTCGTAAACACTTTGTCAGTCTGGAGCATTAACAGTATACCTAATGATACAAGCCGCTTTAAGCAGTGTCTGACTGATACCAGAACGTCTACGGGGATAATGGACAGGTAGACTCAGAGCCTTGCTGAAGCCACCCGCGACCACAGCTTGTTTAGGAGGCTAAGCAACCGGAGTCCTATAGTAGTGGTGTATATTTAAATCTCGCCAAGTGCAAATCGGAATCCCACTCGGGAACAAATTTTTGCCGGACTCGTTTGTCTTGTCTAGTCTCCTGATCTATATTATTTTAACGAACGAATAATATTTTTCTCTTACAGTTAATCTCACAGTTAATCAACTAACGGTACTTTCAACGTGACTTTTCAGCCGAGCCAACATGGCGGCTTTACGCTTACTTCCGGCGGGCGCGCATGCGGTGGCCGCTTTATTCCCGATCGTTGTTTTTGCTTCGCGCCATTGCTGATGAGCCGGAGACTCCTCTCCGTCGTCCAATTGTCGGCCTCTCTCTCAGTCCCAGCTCCGCCGCACACGCCATTCTCGTGCAGAGGGCCCTCCTTTGCCAGGTGTCTGTTCTTGCCGCGCTCTCTCGAACAAGGAAGCACCAGTTCCTCCGTAATCCAGATGATCTTTACCACGATTTCACAGGAAAGAATTTCAGTTCATGCTTTGAGTTGGAAAATTTCAAATAAGCCACTGATAGCAGCGTTGTAGAAGTTGGGGGCTAGGCTCTATAGATATGATGGAATTGCGGATGCCAGCCGTTTAGAACTGCAACATTTCTGTCTGTAAACAAAAATTCTCAGCTAGGAAATGTATCCAACCAATTGCAGAGCAGAAAGAACATTTCAAACGCCATAACCATCGATTAATTTCACAGCAATAAAAAGAGTAGCAACACGGGCGGTACAATGCGCTGGTTACTCTGCACCACGCCTACGTTTTACAACGAACATGCAAACCACAATCTACTCTGCAAATCAACGTGAGCAGAGCAACCGGGGCTGCACGCCAGGCAACGGACGACTTTACTCCGATTAATAGGTACCAGATCAGATGAGATCATTACAACGACGACCGACGGTGAAAAATATTTTTGTTCGCAGTAGGATCATTAGTCCTAGCTAAACCGGGCTTCTGGTAGATTTCACGGTTGGCTGGCCGCTGCCGACGGCGGCGGCGTGCCCCGGCGGTCAGCACCGCCACGCCGACACGGACACCAGCTCGCCGCGCTGCCAGTAGAGGCAGAGCGCGCCGCCGCGCTTCTCCACGCGGAACCCCATCAGCGCCATCCTCTTGAGGAGGGCCTCGGCCTGCGACTCGGCGAACGTGCTGGCCTGCACCGGAACGAACCCCGCCGACGCGAACACGGTCCGCCACGCAAGCGGCGGCGGCTTGTCCATGGCCGACGCGCGGTGGCGCGACACCACGCGCAGCTGCACGTCGGGTTGGACCAGGAACCGCTCGATCCTGGCCACCGCCTCGGCGTCCGCGCCCACGGCGTCGACGGAGTCGAGCAGGGACACGCACGACTGGAACGCCTGGAATAGGTGCGCCGCGAACGGCAGCTCCGTGCGGTCGCAGCCGCGGTCCACGGAGACCACCACCTTGGCGCCGAGCCGCTTGACGAGGCGGAGGACGGCCGGCATTGCGGCCACGTGGGCCGACCCGACGGGGAGGTGCACGGCCACGGCGTCTCCGCTGGTGATGGCCACCAGCTCCGCGGGGTCCAGGGTGTCGATGTTGAACACCGCGAACTGGAGGAACACGCCGAGCTCCCGGGCGAAGCCGGAAAGGTTCTCGTGGATGAGGTTCAGCTCCAGCGGGTGGTGCGACGCCGAGGACACCAATGCGGTCACCTTGAGCGTCGACGCGGGGCAGCGCTGCGCGAGCTCCTGCATCAGCGACGCCCACTGCTCACCCATGCCAATGTCCAAGTCGAGCACGTGGATGCGGCTGGCGGCCCCGAGCTCGTCGAGCACCGCCTGCACGCAGGTGAGGTGCGCGAACTGGAGCACGGGGGAGACCTCGGAGAAGGCCTTGTACGCCCCGAGCTTGAGGACCACGTCGTACGGCGTGGAAACCGGGGGCGACAGGGCCTCGCAGGTTGGGGAGAGCGCAACGCGCAAGGCCTCCTTGAAGTAGAAGGCTGAGCGGAGCAGCGGCGTCCCGGCCGTGGGGACGGCGGGGAGCCGATAATTGAGCCGCGCCAATATCTCGCGGGCGCCGAAGGCGTCGCCAGCCTCGGCAAGTTTGGCCGCCTCGGCAAGCTGGTCCACCGCAGCGGTCACCTCGTCGTTACCTGCCTCCGCCTTGGGCTTCAAAGCGGGCGCAAACCCGCCCGCCTGGGCGACGGGCCCAGGGAAAGATGGCAGCTTTGGCGCCGGCGCGCCGGCCATCGGGTGGGGTCGCTTCGGCTGCGGCGCCGCGTCGAGGGACGGGTGCGAGTGCGAGCCGAAGAAGGCGGCGTGTGGCTGGGGGTGGTGCTGGTGATGGTGGACCAGGAAGTTGGGCGTGTGGCCGAAAGGCACTGCCTTGACGTCCTCCATGGCCGGCGCGAACGGCATGCTGGTCCCGAACGCCGGCGACATCATGGACAACGCGTGGTCCAGCTCAAGGACCGGCGGGTTCATGACAGACCCCATAGCCGCAGACGCGTCCTCGCCGCCAATGATCCACCTGAGGAAGGTGTGGTCGGGGGCGAGTCCCGGCGGCGCCGCGCCATCGGACAGGACGGCGCCGGCGGCGTCCCACCCTTCGCCGGCGCTAAGGCCCATGTCAAGCGGCGTGAGCTGCCACTCCTCCTTGCCCCCCGCCACGGCCTCCTCCCCAGCCCCTCCCCCTGGCCATGCCGCCGCCACCGGCGGCGTGGAGACGTTCTTGGCGTTGGCACCGGCGAGGGCCGCCACACCGGCGGTCGCGGCGCCCAGGGGCGACGACAGCGTGGAAACCGAGGTCGGAGGGCTCGGGCTCGGGCTGTGTCGGTGGTCAAGCACCGAGGTGGGCTCCCAGAGGTCGCCGGCGCCGGAGGCTTTGCCGGCGGCGAGCCCCTGTCGTCGCTGTTGCAGCAGTGTCCCCGCGTCGTGCCCTTCTCGTGCGCTACCAGCAAAGAGCATTCCTCTCATCTAAACCAACTCCTCATAACAGCAAAAGCAGACCAGGAATGGCGACGGTTGCTGGTCCCTGGCTGCTCCTTCCTCCTCCTCCCGACCTCGTCTTGTCCTATGGGCTATGGCCTGTTGCTTCTCTTCTAGCTTCAGAGAGCGCTTGGTTGTAGAGTCCAAGGACTCATCATTCGGTACGCTCTCGTACTACCAGCTCCTCCGCCCTTCTCTCTCTACCTCCTCTTCTGTCTGTCCTGGTTTCTCTCTTGCGCGGCTGAGCCTTGATGAGCGTTTGTGATGAGAGGGGTGAGGAATGAGGAGGGGTGCGGGGGGGAGGAGAGAGTATTTTATTCTCCTCGCAGCGTCTTGATCTCGAAATGATAGCGTACAACATGAAAAAGGAAATAAAGTGGGGCCATGTTTAGTTCCTCCCTATTTCAGAATTTAACACTATATAAAAAGAAGATTTCCGTTACATTAAACTTGTGGGACATGAAGTACTAAATGTTGATGAAATTAAAAACTAATTGCACAGTTTGATTATACTTTGCGAGACGAACGTTTTGAGTCTAATTAGTCACGATTACAATTATGGCACCAAATAAAAACAAAACTGTACTGTAGCTACAGTACCAGAGTACCGCCGGAATTCGGCGGCGCCGATTCGGTGGCCGAACTAAACGAGGCCTGGGTGGCCTTCCCGCTGAGGACTTGACCCCCTCCTACTGTCCTGTCCTCTCTCTTTCATTTCCCTCTCTCTACATCTACAGTAGAGTACGAGGAGTAGATTTTCCTTGAAACAAATAAAAAAATTGGCTCAAAGGGTGGGAGGCTTTAGCACGTAGCTCTCGTTTTGGTACAAAAGGCTGTGCGCTGTGTAAAATTCCTGATGCATGGTGCAGGAAAGAGATATTTCCGCAGACATAATACTGTTTGAGCAACTGTGCACTAGCTTCTAAGGGCACGTTTAATTCCCACAATTTTCTTGGGTTTGGTTACTGTTTGTCTATTGTAGCACTTTCGTTTGTCTACTGTTTGGTTATTGTAGCACTTTCGTTTGTATTTAGTAATTAATGTCTAATTATGGATTAATTAGGTTCGAAAGTTTTGTCTCGTGATTTCTCACCCAACTGTGCAATTAGTTTTTTTTCATCTACATTTAGTACTTCATGCATGTACCGTAAGATTAATGTGACACTTTGAAGTGAAAATTTTAGGAAACTAAACATGCCCTAATACTGAGACATGAGCTTCTGTAGCGACCCTGCAAGCTCACTTTGCCTGAGAGAAGAATGATCTTGTTCAATGTAAGAGTACCTGTAGAGGAACGGGTAGCCTAAACAATTTATTTCTACCGCGAAACGTGCGACTGAGAAATTCACGGCCCTACTCGTTTCGCTAAAATTTAGTCTACGTTGCTGCTTATGCGAATTGGTTGTGGGAGGAAAACACTGCTTATGCTTATCACTTTGACATACAGCACAGTGCAAAAAGAGTTAAAGTAGTTCGGTCCAACGTTGGACATGTCGAGTAGTAAGTCATAGATTGTTATCACTTTGACACGCAGCGCAACACAAAAAAGAGTTAGTAGTTCGGTCCAAGGTTAGACATGTCCTAGATTGTTATCACTTTGACACGCAACGCAGCACAAAAAAAGAGTTAAGAGTAGTTCGGTCCAAGGTTAGACATGTCGATCAGTAGAAGTAGGTGTATGTCGCCACGGGCGCTTGCTACCACCTGGCGCGCGGCCAATAGGGAGGGAGGATAGGTTCATCATCATCATGTTTATAAAAGGACCAAAGTTATCTTTCAATAAGGTGTTGGCCTATTTATACATAGAGAAGAGCTTATTATCTTTATATCAATTAGTAGTATGGTACTAATTAAGTTTCTACGTTCCACCTCCACCCATGAGCTTTAATCTTAAATCCACCCCTTAATAAAAAGCCCATTAGTAAATCATTATCATGTTTTAGTATAAATCTAATGCATAACGTGTATGATTGTCTATTTGGCACATCACCAACAATACTAAACTACTGTAGATCGGCATTTATTAGCACACAGAGAGGCAGCATCCAGATTCTAGGGAATGGCTGCAAAGCATAGCAACAACAGAGAGAATTCAGAAAATTTCTTCTTGCCCGCCAATGATCTGTGCCATGGATGCTTGCACTTGGCCAATCGCCATTGCCAAAATTCGGTATGCGGTGCAGCCCATGGCTCTCCTGGTGGAGCCGATGAAATATCAGAGATGCAGTGCAGCGCAGTTGGTGTGGTGTGCATCATGGCTGCACTGCACTGCACGAAAGCTTCCCCCCTCCCTTTCCTGTCGTCGTTCCCCAGCAGCATGCAGTCGCTGCACTGCAGCTGCAGCTCGGTAGATTCAAGGCTCCAAGTCCCAAAGGCGAGTGAATAATCAACGACACAAAAGGGTTGGAGCGAAAGCTGAAGGCGCGCCGGTCGCTCCAAAATGCACCATCATTTGCTAGCCACATTCATCATGTAGTAGTAACCTTTTGACGCTCAACACCATTTTTAAATTTTACTACTAACACATATAAGTAAAATGAAGATCCTTGCATTAGCAACCACTTAAAATCTGAAACAACTCCTGAAAACTTTGAAACCGAATGTTTGGTAAGGCTTTGGCCCCTTTCAAAAACAGTTCTACTGCTTTTCTAAAACGTTGCCGCTAAAGTCGTTTTCTGCGCTGTCGCTTCATACAGCTCCTGCACTGGGATTACTGTGCATTGGGGGTAGATGTCAAGGCAATAGGAGTTATCTCGTGGTCCATGATTCGTTGCTGGTAGACCAAACTCAATGGGAGTTTCGTGCCGTATGTTTTTAAGACTCCATGGTATCGTAAACGGTGTAAATAAGTTTTATGTCATAAACTTTTTTTTTATCTCTCTCCTTATTTAAACTATACCACGTCAGCTTATTTAATGTCTACGAAACTATCGTAAAACTCTTACTAAGATTGGCCTTATCAGTTGTTGACTCAAAAACTTGTTCAATTCAAGTATAATATATTATTACTCTTTAGTTCTCACTGGTGTTCTCCAATCAAGATTTTTTAACGTAAATAATAAACTCCTGACTAATAGCATGTCCATTTTATTGGTACCTGCACTACTACTCTGCGATATTTTAATCTGTCTTTGTTCTTCTATCAAGATCAGTGCATGCACGTACTAGTAGCCAACAAGAAACGGCAACTGATGTTGCCAGTCCAAATGGCATCTGATTCCTGTCCATTTTCTTCGGACGAAACGTCTTAACTTGAGAGACTTGGAAGCCAGGATTACATGTAAAAAACGTTCACGCCCAGTGCGTCGATAGATGAGGTCAAATCACGCTGCGCCCGGCGTTGCTGCACCAATAATCAACACAAATAAATATCCGCCTCATGCATGATAAAGGCACTGTTCGGCACAGGTATTAAAAACAACTTCAAAAAAGCTTTATGGGTGGGTGAAGCTGAGCTGTTTTGAGAAAAGTGTCTCGCAAAACAACTTCATCAACAATCTATGAATGGCTGAGAGAGGAACGCTGTAAGGAGAAATTACTTGGAAAGAGAAGAACAGGAAGAACAAGGTAGCGTACGGCGCGATGGCCGGATTACTCAGAAACAGAATTTAGTTTTCTCTCTATCATCCATACCCTCTCATCTCTCCTTGCTCCTGCTTAATACATAGACTAGACTTGCCACATTGGGCCAACGATTCTTGTACTGGGCCGACGCAGTTTCTTGGGCCGGACAGCCAGAGCAGCTTCCTCTTCAGCTCCAGGCGCGTCGTCTTCACCTGTCACGGGCACGGGCAGGGACAGGCTGCTAACATTCCCTCCATCTTCAGCACCAGCATGTCCCTCACGGGAACTGTTGGCGAAGTTGCTCGAGCGGCTCCCAAGTAGACAGCTCCGGAGGTGAATGCGACCACTGGATAAGGCCTTGCGCCACAGGCCAAGCCCCGGATGTCCAGCGGCATTGCAGCACCCGAAGCGGAAACTAAAACTGCTGCAAGTCAGAAGGTAGTGATGGCGATACCTGTTGATTGCCAGGAGAAGAACGCAGCTGCGAGACGTGGAAGACCGGATGGACAGCAGCGCCTGGTGGAAGTAGCAGCTTGTATGTAACTGGACCAATCTTTTGAATGACTTGAAATGGCCCGAAGAACTTGAAAGGTAATTTGTTGTTGGAGCGATGGAAGAGTGATGACTAAATATAGGGTTGGAGCTTCATGAACACCATGTCGCCCACAGAGAATTGACGCTCAGAACAGCCTTTATCAGCTTGGCGTTTCATGTGAGCCTGGGCACGGAGCAAGTGTTGCTTGACAACATTATGCATGAGCTCTCGATCAGCCATCCATTTGTGAAGTTCAGGCACTGGAGCCACCTCATCCAAGTTCACTGACAACAGGCGTGGAGGAAAACCATATAAGACCTCAAAGGGGGAACGGCCCAGCGTTGAATGTGTAGATGTATTATACCAGAATTCAGCGAGTGGCAGCCAACGACTCCACTGAGCTGGGCAAGTGTGCACAAAGCAGCGAAGAAATGTCTCGACGCACTGGTTGACACGCTCTGTCTGACCGTCCGTCTGTGGATGGTAGGCGGAGCTAAACTAAAGCTCGGAGCCTGCTGCCTTGAACAGAGATTTCCAAAAGTTGTTGGTAAATATGCGGTCGCGGTCGGAGACAATAGCTCGAGAAAGACCGTGAAGGCGATACACTTGGTCCATGAAAATCTTGGCAACAGAGGCTGCTGTAAAAGGATGGCGCAGTGGAATGAAGTGGGAAAACTTGGAGAACTTATCCACCACTACTAAGATTGCATTGAACGAGCCAGACTGTGGCAACCCTTTGATGAAATCCATCGAGACAACTTCCCAAGAAGCAGATAATACTGGAAGTGGCTGCAAGAGGCCTGGATAATGGGATCGGTCCGGCTTGGCTTGCAAACACATCGCACATGACTGAACATAAGCCTAAATATCAGATTTCATA